AAATAAATAATAATTTTATAAACGAGCGATGTCTTGCAAAACGAGCAGTACGTACAGTATACACCATTGGCTCGGTATACATAACTGAGCCAATGGTTCTTCTCTCTCTCTCGCTGCGGGATTGTGGGTAATCATCTCTCATGCTCTGTCTCGGTCGGCGTGCCTCACTCGTATAGTCACCATCCGTGCAAGCGTATACTGTTTACTACAGTATAGTGCTGTGACCACGTGTGTGTGCGTAAAGCATTTTATTATTTTGTGTCCAAGTGTAGTGACTGTTCTTTAGTAACTGTACTGCAAGTGAAATTCGTCCTACACAATAACCCTCCTCCTCTCCTCTCTCTCGTCTCCCTCACACCAGCCACGATTAAATGTAATTAATAAATTTGATTACTTTATATTAAATAAAAATATAAAAAAGTATTTTGTATTAATCATTTTTATATGAATACAGTATTTTTGGGTTGTGGAACGAATCATCTGAGTTTCCATTATTTCTTATGGGGAAATTCGCTTTGATATACGAGTGCTTTGGATTACGAGCACGTTTCCGGAACGAATTATGCTCGCAATCCAAGGTTTCACTGTAATTTATTTGTGTGTGATATATTGTACTAGGGTGGCAAGATGTTAACTACCTCACATGGTATGCAGAATGTCGTGGGTTCGATTTCAACCCTGACGCATTTATAATTGCAGTTTACATTTTTTATTTTTTCTCTCTCTCCCTGTAGTGGCATTGATTTTTCTCCACATTTAGAAACATGCATTTTGAGAATTTTGCTGCAAAACATTTCAAAATTATAACCCACTAAGTTGAGCTATCATTTGTGTCCAGGTCGATTCTGAAAAAGAGCTATGCAGCTCAGATGGCCTCACCTGGTAAAATAAAAATAGTGTACTGTGTTTGAGGGTTTTCCAATTTAATTTCTTATTTAGCAGTTAAAAACTATGTTTCAGGAGGGTCCTGCATTGGACTGTTTGATCACCACCAAATATATTTTGAGTTTAGGTTAGGGAGAAAAACGGAAAACCCAGTGGAACACCAGTGACGGACGACGCCAGGATAGCGGCCACGGGCTCGAAGCGAGGGCAACCCGGCTCTTGTCCCAAGAAAGGAATCCGCTCCCCACTGCCCTCCACGGTGGCGCATCGCCGGCGGGGCTGCACGTTGAGCCCCAACTTTTCCAGGAGGTCGGTACCTGCAATACACTCGTGGCATAACACGCTCGACACGTATAACTCCTGGTTACACACCTGGTGTCCGAGGCGACCCTTAAGGGTGACCCTCCCCAGCAGTCCCATCCCACTTCCACTTTCAGTTTGCAGCGCACGATCCGGGGCCTGTAGGCAGCTCACGTCAACCCCGACCACACTGCAGTGTGTTGCACTCACGAGTGACGTTACCGCCCCGTGTCCAGCAGAATCTGGGTACGCCACCTGTTCACCTGCCCTTCCACGAGCGACGTGGCCCCCATTATTCCTGCCACCAGCTCCCGCAGCCAGTCACTCGCAGTCGCCGCATTCTGGGGTGTTGTCGGCAACTGCGTGGGGGTCACTCGCTCACCATTATCACGACAGTTTATTTGTGTTGGGACCACGTCGATTGCACCCCTCTGTGGTCCCCTCTTTAGGGAGGCCTTGGTGTTTAACCCTGGTGTTTCTCTCGCGCGGGCGATCTGGGGACAGTTTCTCACGAGATGCCCCCATTGGTCGCATAGATAGCACGCACGGGGAAGGGCGGTGGCTCCATAAGAGGCCCCTTGTCCACTCCCCCTTACCCTCCCAGTGCGCATTTGTTCGAGTTCTGCCTCTTATTGAGATACTCGCCTGGTTAGCCCCCCGACCATGGAGCGTAGCCCTCCCACCTCGGACTGGACTATTTCCGCTGTGGACTGCAGCTTGGTCACATTCAGGTGTACTTGGGTTACCTCCTCGCGTACTTGGGTCGCATGGCCTGCGATATCTCAATTGCCGGTCTATTTTCCTGCCACCCATCTTGGGGTTGTCTCACGGGGTCCCGGAGGCTCCCTCGTCCCCCCCCTCACCTCCTCCTCTGGAAGAAGACTTGCAATGGTGCTATCCCGTACCAGCCGTCGGAATTCCGCACGCTCGCGAGCAAATCTCTCGCACACACACACACACGTGCGCGTGCTCGGCAAGGGTGTTAAATGGGGGATATGGGCAGATCGCATCTGGCTGCCACCCCGTTGTGCTTGTCAGATACTGCTGAACTTTCGCAGTGGTGAGGTCATCGATGATCTCGGCAGTGTATCCCAGGCGTGCGCTCTGTGTTCGCAAGCGTGATTTATTTTCGTGCGCGCTCACTGAGATCCGAAGTGAGAAGTTCACATCGTGGTTATTGTTGTCGTGGTGGTAGTTGTTGTTTACCCAGGTAGAGCCTCGCTCCTTCTCTGTCTTGTAGGGAGGCCGCTTTGGATTGCACTACTCTTCGATTTCACATTAATATGCTAATTTATTACATTAACATCACTAGCCCCGGCCACTTCTTTACGACCCTTGGGCTACACCCATTTCAAACCTTTTACAACAGTCTGCCTCAGCAGCAGACCATGCATTTTCTATCAGTGTTTTTGTTTGCATGCTGACCACAAGTATTGTGGTTAATGCACACATGATTCCTTGTAAAAGGTTTCAGTTTGGTGTTTTAACATCTTAACACCTGTTTCGTTGCCAGAAAAATGGGGAAAACCTATTCTCATATTTTGGTACTGGCAAAGGTCCCATGATAAAATATTGCAGTATATTAGAGGTGAGCCGTGCGTGTGTAGAAAGGACAGTAAGGAGCTGGAAGTTAATGAATTTTGTGGCAAAAATGCAGGCCTGATAATATGTAAGGATAATGTGGTAAATGAGAAAAATATAGCAGCAGCGGGGTGTTGGAGTATGCAGGTGTTACAGGTGTTGAAGGTGAACAGGTAAGCTAAAAATTGTGTGAAAAACATAATAACTTTCCCTTGAGTACGCATGGAATTTTTGATGTGTGTATGTTTCAAAGTGTTGGCGCAATTTGGTTCTCAAAAAAACACAGAGTGCTTCATTTATATACATTTATACTCATCTTGGAATGTTTTGTATACGGTTTCTCCACATTTATTTCAGTAATTTAGTTTATTGGGAATACAGTACAGTACTTATTTAAATTGTGATGTATATTTTAGTTGCCGTTAACCTCACCCCATTATTTAGGTAAGGCTTTAGTATTGGACATCGGCATTTTAGCTTTCGCACGGCACTTTTCAAGAATGTAACCTCCGCGCTATTCAAGGGGCTGCTGTATTTTCTGTCCATCAGCTATAGCACAGGAGTACGGATTTCAGCAGAAACTAGATTTCTGCTTTCTTGGTGTAATTACGGCCTATAATACCATAAAGAGGCTTGGGGTTTTGGATTGTTTTTTGTTTTCGATATCTCTGCCTCTGCTCACATTCGTTGAGGATTTTTATGATTTTTGGATGGCCCATCTAAAGCTGCGTGACCAGGAGTCGGATCCCTTTCCTGTTCAATTTGGCTTGTGGCTGAAATTCCCTCTGGCCCCATGCATTACATTACGTAGCATTTTCAAATAATTGTGTTTTGAGAAGCTCGCAATGGCCTTATAAAAAATGCATTTCATACAGTAACAATGATACGCTAATCGATGCCTGGTTATAGTCAAAGGATTGTCCCCTGCTGGTCAACCATGTTACGCATGTTGATGATCTGGTCATGGCTACTCAATGATATTGAGTTGGAGAATCGTGTTCTGTACCTGGAGAATTCCATGACGATATGGGGCCTTACATATGTTCTACAAAAGATCACCTCCCTGGGAAAATCTTGACCTAAAGCTTTCGTAACTGCAGGAATTCATATTCTTTGGGTCTTTCGGTTAAGTGACGTGACTTTACCGAAAGACCCAAAGAACACCTCCCTGGGAATTTAATGTCATTCGACACTGCACCTGCTCAGCTCTCCATGAATAATCAGTTCGTTCTACACGTGGCGGAGGAGCTCCTATAACTGGTTAATGTGTTCACGACCAGCTCTGGTTTGGCATCTAAAGTCTCACTTCAAATTAGTCTAGCAGCATTCTTTCATTAGGCTCTGGAACACTATGTGGAAGCTGCCTGGACTTTTTTACATACAAAGCTGTGAGTGTCCATTGCAAAGGTCTCGTCAAAAAAACAGGCAATAGTCTACGTTATAGACTGCCAATACACTCACCGAGGTTAAGAACCAGGCTACAGTCTACATTAGTCGTTTTTTTTCTTTTATTCACTTTATTTGTATTATTATTTTCTATCTACGTGACTTTACCGAAATAACCAAAGAATATTAATTCCTGCAGTCACGAAAGTTTTAAGTCAAAATGTAACCACCTTTTTACTATGCAAGTGTATGAACATGTAAAGTTTGTATTTGCTGTCAAGTATATTGACTCGATTGAACATGGAGGTTAAATCATAGTAATAGTTTATTTTAGTTTTGCTTTGGAAATTTTCATAAGAATGGAAACAGTCAGGAAATTAACACAGTACATATGCAGCTGAAGTTAAATCTGTTCATCCTCGCATTCAAGCTCATCTGAGCCTGGCTTCACACCTCTTAAGTCGCAAATGAACATTAATTTATACATTTCTGCATAATACAAATAGTATTATTTTCAACAGCCTTTGCTATGTTAACAAATTTTTCTTAAATATTCCTGTCGTAGCTAGACAACCGAAATTGTGTGCTTGGAGTTTTTGGTAAACATTAATTTTGAAGACACGAGGGTGTCCAGGCATATTTATGACCATTTGCCCTCGCATTGTGTGCCTTAACAGCCCGTGTGATGAATTGGGGAATCTCTTTCACTATATCATGAAAATATGAATATGTATAGATGTGTAAGTCATGTATGACTGTATATATGCATTCCTCTGTGCCTCAATACTCACATGGATGGTGTGGACATGCTTTTCTGTTTGCAGCTGACGCTCTGCAGAATTGGCCTGATGGAGCAAAGGCACTCAGCGCAGTTCAGTACAAGAAGGAAACAATGCGACCAGCATGCAAACAGCACGGATCGTACTGGAAACTTGACACAGCACCAGAGAACACACACAGGAGAGAAACCCTTAGAGTGCTGTGTGTGTGGGAAGGCATTTTCAGATGCATCTACTCTTAAACAACACCACAGAACACACACAGTAGATAAACCTTTTAAGTGCACTCTGTGTGGGAAGGCGTTTGCAAAGTCATCAAATCTTAAGACCCACCAGAGAACACACACAGGAAAGAAACCTTTCAAGTGCACTGTGTGTGAGAAGGCGTTTGCACAGTCATCACATCTTCAAAGCCACCAGAGAACACACACAGGAGAGAAACCCTTCAAGTGCACTGTGTGTGAGAAGGCATTTTCATGGTCGTCATATCTTCAGACCCACCAAAGAACACACACAGGAGAGAAACATTTTAAGTTCAGTGTGTGTGGGAAGGCGTTTGCAAAGTCATCAACTCTTCAGACCCACCAGAGAACACACACAGGAGATAACCCCTTCAAGTGCAGTGTGTGTGTGGGAAGGCATTTTTTGATTCATCTACTCTTAAACAACACCAGAGAACACACACAGGAGAGAAACATTTTAAGTGCAGTGTGTGTGGGAAGGCGTTTGCAAAGTCATCAATTCTTAAATCACACCAGAGAACACACACAGGAGAGAAACCTTTCAAGTGCACTGTGTGTGAGAAGGCGTTTGCACGGTCATCCATTCTTAAATCACACCAGAGAACACACACAGGAGAGAAACCTTTTAAGTGCAGTGTGTGTAAAAAGGTGTTTGCACAGTCATCCATTCTTAAATCACACCAGAGAACACACACAGGAGAGAAACCTTTTAAGTGCACTCTGTGTGGGAAGGCGTTTGCAATGTCATCAAATCTTAAGATCCACCAGAAAACACACACAGGAGAGAAACCTTTTAAGTGCACTCTGTGTGGGAAGGCGTTTGCAAAGTCATCAAATCTTCAAACCCACCAGAGAACACACACAGGAGATAAGCCCTTCAAGTGCAATGTGTGTGGGAAGGCATTTTTTGATTCATCTACTTTTAAACAACACCAGAGAACACACACAGGAAAGAAACCTTTCAAGTGCACTGTGTGTGAGAAGGCGTTTGCACGGTCACCAGATCTTCAAAGACACCAGAGAACACACACAGGAAAGAAACCTTTCAAGTGCACTGTGTGTGAGAAGGCGTTTGCACAGTCATCACATCTTCAAAGACACCAGAGAACACACACTGGAGAGAAACCCTTCAAGTGCACTGTGTGTGAGAAGGCATTTTCATGGTCGTCATATCTTCAGACCCACCAAAGAACACACACAGGAGAGAAACCTTTTAAGTGCAGTGTGTGTGGGAAGGCGTTTGCAAAGTCATCAATTCTTAAATCACACCAGAGAACACACACAGGAGAGAAACCTTTCAAGTGCACTGTGTGTGAGAAGGCGTTTGCATGGTCGTTTATTCTTAAATCACACCAGAGAACACACACAAGAGAGAAACCCTTCAAGTGCACTGTGTGTGAGAAGGCATTTTCATTGTCATCATATCTTCAGACCCACCAGAGAACACACACAGGAGATAAACCCTTCAAGTGCAGTGTGTGTGGGAAGACATTTTTAGATTCATCTGCTCTTAAACAACACCAGAGAACACACACAGGAGAGAAACCTTTTAAGTGCATTCTGTGTGGGAAGGCGTATGCAAAGTCATCAAATCTTCAGTCCCACCAGAGAATACACACAGGAGATAAACTCTTCAAGTGCAGTGTGTGTGAGAAGGCATTTTCAGATTCATCTACTCTTAGAAGACATCAGACAACACACACAGGAGAGAAACTCTTCAAGTGCAGTGTTTGTGGGAAAGCGTTTGCACATTCATCAAATCTTAAAAAACACCAGAGAACACACACGCATCAGAAAATCCACAAGAAGTGTAATCTGAAATCAGCTTGTGAAAGTCAAAGTGCTGCAATGACCCCATTGTTCATGAAACAAGAACCAGAAGACAACCCTAGCCTGGACACTTTGAAAGGTATCAAGGTGAAATATGAAGAGGTGAAGGTGAAATGTGAAGAAGTAACATTGAAGAGCGTAGAAGTGAAGGTTAAATTTGAAGATTCAACTCCAAAATCGGACCTTCACATAGATGGAGGCAGTGTGAAGCAGGAACTAAATTCTGACTGTGAGGCAGAGCGAGGCAACTCCCAGGAGTTTGTGGATGTGGAGGTGTGGGTGGACTTCTTAGACAATACAAAGTCAAATGTAGACCAGGTAGATGTGCAAGCTTGAGACAATTAAGCTCCAATGGATGCACCTTTGTCACAGGCCTTTCTAATGAATATAATGTGAAGTTGAACACTCAATTTCTAGGTTCAAACTGCAGTGTAAGAGTGGCCAGTATTTGTGGATCTGTGGGTTGGGTCGTTATCGAATCCGGGAGCGACTCATGTGTTTTCTAACATATCTCATCTTAGACACTCGAAGGGTGCCCATAATGGGCATCTGCCCCTGTGTGCCACAAGGTGACCGTTCACTGGCTTGCATGTGGATATGAGTTTGTAAGTCGGGGGCGATGATTGATATACCAGTCGGATTTGAACCTTGAACCTCTGCAACAAATAGAGAATGTACTACTACTTGGCTTCCCTCTATGAGAGTGCTGCACATATAGGCCTCATCTCGTCAGATCAACTTGTAAATACGTTGCAACGTGACGCAGTACATTTCAGTATAGTAATAAAATGTTGCCAATGTGCCCTTTGATTATTTTGAATCATAATTGAAAGAATACCCGTCTGATTTTGTACGTACATACAACATTTTGTGTATTAATGTCAAACATGGAATATGTGCTGTCAGGACAAAGTATCTGTTTTGGTGGTAACCTGTACAAAAACTCACGTGAGAGCTGTTATTTTTGTGATACGAGTCAAAGGGTATTTTTGTGAATCAGGACGCATCTGACTGGGGCAACTCCTTGTCTTTGAAATCAGGAGCATAGTCGGATCATTCATCAGTTAAGGTATGCCACTTATAAGTTACGTATAGGAGATACATTCTCAACATCACTAATTATCATTTTGTACTACGTATATACATTTTGTCGAACTGAGACTTGAAATGGACCTTGCTGATGAACATCAGTTGAAGCAAAGCCCGACTGTTGAGACATTGTACACCAAAACCAGTCCACAGGTGGCTTGTACTGAACACATGCATTCCTAGAAGGCCATGGTATTTATAGTTTGTGTAAGACATTCCTTTGTTTCGTGTAGAGAACGTTGAATGAAAGATGTCTGCCGATCTGTTTTTTTCGCAAGGAGTTCCTTTAAAGAGCACATTTGATGGCATCGTGGATTTTTGTTACTGATTTGTATTCTAGCCTAGGTTTTATTAAATTTTTATATTCATTTAAATAAAACTTTATATATGTGTCCATTGATATCCCACCTTGTTTTTCACATGTTTACTTAAATATGTAGAAGCTCCCTCTGAAGACGTCACCTCAAATTAACGAGTGGGTCACGTCAGGGCCTGCCCCTCTCTGGCTTGTGATGTCACCAAGAGCAGAACTCGCCTCCACGGAATCTAACGACTGCACTGTCTTGGAATGCATTTGTAACGGGTTCCGGAGACACTTGTAGATGTAACTTCTTTATTACAATACAACACTCCAACAGTCCTGATACTCTGTTACAGCCTAGGTACACAGCCTAGCTACACAGCCTAGATACTCTACTCTGGCTACGCTCTGGACTCGCCCTCACAAGGTCGTAGCGTCGGGAGTTCCAGAGTCCCAGCGCTGGCTCTCACAGCATCCCAGGGTCTTCAGATGGCTGGTCGTGGGTCTTGGGTCTTGAGTTACAACTGGGCCCCGATCGTCCAGGGAGCTCTCCTTTTATGCCTGGTCCGACGAGGGGTGGGGCCGTGTGCGCCACCAGACATCCCACAGAGCACACACGGCCCCCCCCCCCCCCCCCCCCCGTTGGCGGCGCCAAAAAGGCTTAAGCGCCTGGGAACCCAACGCCTGGCGCCCAAAGGCTTAAAAGCGTCTGGACCCCCTGGGAACCCAGTGCCTGGCGCCCAGAGGCTTACGCGTCTGGACCCACCTGGGAACCCAGAGCCTACAGCAGCCCCTCCCTTCTTATGTCACTACACATTTACACAGTAATCAAATCTTCACAACTGCCAGGGAACACACATTAAAAACCACTTAATGTACAATTGGAAGGCCTTTTGAATTGTCTTGAAACTGAAACACGTGTAAGGAGGTCTACAAGGAGCAGAGTCTGAGATTGACGTGTGAAATTTGAAGTTCCATAAGCCCATCGTTTGTGATGCAAGGACCCAATAAAGATGGCAGCTGGGAAACGTCACCATTCGTGAAGGTGACCTGTGAAGGCTCTAGGGTTTGACTTCCAGGTCACTAATGGAGCCCGAGACAAATCACATCCATTTGTGGATGTGGAGTTTTGGGAGGACTTTTCGGACAAGGTCGAGTAGAAGCAGACAGCATGTGTGACCATAAGTGTTGGGTAGACCTGTAACCAAAAGCATGAGACACGGTTTCCCAATGTTTATTTCAATTGTTAAATTTTAGTTGATTTGGAATACAGTACGTATTTCAATTGTGATGTAAATTTTAGTTGACGTTTACCTAACGCCATTACTTGGGTAAGGCTTAAGTATTGAATATCGCGTTTTTAGCTGTCGCGCGGCATTTTCCAAGAACGTAACCTACGATATTCAAGGGGCGGCTGTATTTTCTGTCGATCGAGTACAGCAGGCCTATGGTACCCTAAATAGGCTTGGTGCTTTGGGTTCCTTGATTTCGATGTCTCTGCCTCTGCTCACATTCGTTGAGGATTTTTATGATTTTGGGCAGGCCTATGTAAAGGTGCGTGACCAGGAGTTGGAACCATTTCCTGTTCAACTCGGCTTGTGACAGAAATTCACTCTGCCCCAATGCATTTCATTTGTAATGTGAGGTTACACCTGGATGATGATGATTGGCTCTGCTGGCTTCAGCCCGCAACCAATGGGGAGTCGAGTTAGGGGCGTGGCCCTGGAGCCGTACATTAGCTTCTAGAAAGTTCCAGGGGTGTGGCTGAGGATTGGCTGCGGGGCATCACGTGGGCCAGGGATTAAAAGGGGCGACAAAGCCACGTGGCTGGTGCCGTGGTCCGGAGCCTGCCATGTGGCGGGCCGCGGAAATCTCACGCTGTCAGCCAACAGCGTGAAGGAGCAAGGGAACTGGAGGAACGAATGTGGTGGAAGCTGTGAACGAAACTGAATAAAGAATTCTCAATTCACGATGTCGTCTCAATGGGGTTTATTACACATCACATAGCATCTTCAATAATTATGTAGTTTGAGAAGCTCACAATGGCCGTATAAATAAATTGGATTCGTCGCAGTTAAAAATAATACGCTTATCGATGACTGGTTATCGTTAAGGGATTATACTGGTAGGAACGAAGTGAACCAGCCTACAATAGATTATATCGTCCGATGTCCGATTACGTGTAGCAACATCGCCCCCTACTGCAAACACTTGGCAGGACCCTACAAAAACCTTTAGACTCAGTGAGGCTTTCCTGGCTAAACAAGTGTAACATTCCCTTATAATTCCCTGAGATAGTTTTAAATTAAAACATTTAAATTAAAAATTAACTCACAGCGGCCTAAAGCCTACAGCTAGGCCTAAAACCTAGAACTAGGCCTCAAACTCTCCCTTCGTATCGTACCCCCGCCATTTCATTTTATTAAAGCCATTCATTTGTTCGTTCCTACCAGCCCACCCTGCAGAGACCTGTTTCCCTGCTGGTCAGCCCTGTTGCATCTGCTGATGATCTGGTAATGGCTACTCAATGAGATGGCTGGCTGAGGTGCCATCTCTTGTTTTGCCGGACACACAGTAACAAGAACAACAACCGCCATTCGCCACTAAGTGGCGGTCACGTCACCATGGCGCTTGTGCCAGGCTATGTGCACGGGGTAGACCCCCAGGTGCCATGGGTCGACTGACTCAGTTGACTGGCCGATGCACCATCTGTACCCCCGACTGTGCCAACACACAGTGTACACACACACACACACAGTGTACACACACAGTTTGTACACACACAATGTACACGCACAGTGTACACGCACAGGGTACACACACACAGTGTACACACACACAGTGTACATGCACAGGGTACACACAGTTTGTACACACTGTACACACACACAGTGTACACACACACAGTTTGTACACACAGTGTACACACACAGAGTGTACACGCACAGGGTACACACACACAGTTTGTACACACAGTGTACACACACACAGTGTACACACACACAGTGTACACACACACAGTGTACACGCACAGGGTACACACACACAGTGTACACGCACAGGGTACACACACACAGTGTACACGCACAGAGTACACACACTGTACACACACACAGTTTGTACACACAGTGTACACACACACAGTTTGTACACAGTGTACACACACACAGTGTACACACACACAGTTTGTACACACACAGTGTACACACACACAGTTTGTACACACAGTGTGTACACACACACAGTGTACACACACACAGTGTACACGCACAGGGTACACACACACAGTGTACACGCACAGAGTACACACACTGTACACACACACAGTTTGTACACACAGTGTACACACACACAGTTTGTACACACAGTGTACACACACACAGTTTGTACACACACAGTGTACACACACACAGTTTGTACAC